GGGGGGGGGGAGGTACACAACTGAGAATGAACTTCTCCATACATGCACTGATTTGTGTGTACGGATTTACGGATTTATGGATGAAATTATACACACTAAAAGTGTTCATTTATGGTAAATGCTCGAAATTTAACATATTTCTGATTGAATTTGTCCATTATTATGCACACCGTCGTACATAGTGCGTATGTTAAGTTCACTCCGTACGACGTGTACGAATAAGTGAATCCCAGCTAGATTAGAGTGGAATGTTAGGGGTGGCGTCCGGCTTCCTCGACATTAAGAACGTATGAGCGGTGAGCGGATAGGCCGAGTTCGTCGTGTCGTGGGGGTCTGACTCTGACGCGGAAGTGCCTCGATGTCCTTCCCCTCTGTCTGGTGTTATTTTGGGGGAGGTGGCTCCCCCGCCCCGCCCCGCCACGCTACGCCACGCCACGCTGCGTACAATCTGGGGCGGTGGAGGGTGTCGCGGTGTGGCGGGGCGTGGGCCCCTGCCGACCGTCGCTGGCCGGACAGTGCCGGATAAAGTATATCTCTGGACAGGGCTGGACGGCGAGCTGGTTCGAGGAGAGAAGGGGGGGGGGGGTCGGAGGTGTTTGTGTCTGTGGCAGACCTTCCGGTGTCAACGACCCTATCGCCGGTATCCGCGGTTTGTGGCGGTTGCGAAAGGGTCGCTTGAAAGAAGAGTAAAATGACTACTTATATGTAGATGGGTGTACTTTGGGCATACCAAGCAGTCACTCGCTGTACCGTACGCGTGCGTGCGGTTGCCCTGTGCCCGCGCCTTACGGGTCGAGCGAGTAGGCAACCCGCCCGCTGGGGGTGCGTACGATGCAGTGGGGGCCAACCTGCCTTTGAGTCAATGCGAAGATTTGCTGTGCGCCTCGAGCACCACGTGGATTTGTTCCCCCTTGCCTCTCTCTGCGACGCGATGCAAGGGGCTGACTGCGCCGGCCGTCTCCATCACTGGCGGGGCGAGGGCAGGACAGAAGGGCGTGTTCGCCTAGTCAGCACCCGACTCTGTCGCGGGGTAGGCCGCCGGGCGCTGGGACAGCAGCGCTCCCACTGTGTAATCCAATATTGTGGCATGCCACCCGGACTAGACTGGCCCGTTGGCAGGATCGTCGAGACGTAGATTTAGCGTCCACCGATGAGAAAAGTTTTCCATTTGCGGCTGTTCAATGCGATTTTTCGGTCTTTCAAAGTTTATATCTTTTGTCATTTTTTGCCCCTTTGTAAAATCAAAAATTATTGCTCTCCGATTTTTAGTTATTTTAATTTACCAACTTTAGTTCCCTGCTAGAGTCTGCTATACTATAAAATATCAACTTTTTCAACTTTGTAGTAATAATTATTCTTGTTTCTGTTTTACAGGTCCACAATTTCTGTGGTGGATGTCAAGAATGGCTCCAGCAAGCACTCCGCGACAACTGTGGGTGTGGTCTTTGCCTTCACTAGTAATCCTACTGAGTCTTGTGTGGTACAAGCGCAAAAGGAATACCCTTCGCTCTGACCCAGGAGGTACATCAAAACTACTACCAGACGCTTCAGAATCAGAAAGTAAAGGGCTTGAAGAGGATAATACCTCTCCTTTACTTGTTCATGGTGAAGCAACTTCCAATCCTGACTCAACAAACGAATCTGTTGAACTGTATCAGAAGTCATTGGCTTCTGTTAAGAATTTAATCAGTGAAAAGCCAGGAGGCATTGTGGAAGTACCAATCAGTGAGACTGACTCAGTAAAACCAGAATCTACTGAGGTACTTGCTGTTGAAGAAGTACTTTGCAAACAAGTTGCACCAGTGTGTGACGTTTTGCCTGTGCGCAAGGAGGCAAAAGTCTGTGAAGTCATTGTTGACAAGAAAGAGATTGCTCCTTGTGTCACAGAAAACTCAAAGGAGAAAAGTACAGAATCCGAGGATTCTGTTATTGTTTGTGAGAAGAAAGTCATTACCACCTCTACCAATATGAAAGATACTAAAGAAGTAGAAGTCTCTGTTGCACCTTCTAAGGATTTGAAGGATGACAGTGACAAGGTAGCAGCACTTGAGGGTAAACTAGCATCCCTGGCACTTGGTTCAAGTGAGGAGCAAAGGCGGGGGGCAGAGAGGGACTCTGCCAACCACAGCCCAGTGGACGCAATGCTCGCCAGCCCCTCAATGAGCAGCTATTCAGATGAACACAGCGAGGTGAGTTTACATTTCTATCCTTTACTATCAATAATTTCCGTGATAAGTATTGTTTGTTCAATTTTTAATTTCATAGTTGATGTAGACAAACTAAGGGAACCATGTTTGTATTGTGTTTCAGGGTTCCAGTGATAGTGGAAAAGGATGCAGTGACGTAGCCTCCCCACCTTCCAGGACCCCAGTTGGAAGTGGTTCACTGGCTGGAGATGCTGAAGTTGGCACTGGGGTAGAGTCAACAAGTGGATATACAGTGTACGACTTTCTACTCTCTCAGCTTTACGCTGGCCGTCTCATCGGCCGCCATGGTTGTTTTGTTAAAGAAATCAAAGCAAAAACAAATGCATCCATATGGATAAAGAGGCATCCAAAGAGCAGAGACTTGAAAATTTGTTCAGTTGAAGGTTTGTTTTACCTTAATATTATTTACTGTGGTATTTTTAGATACATCCAGTCTGCCAAGCTCTATTCCAACTAATTATTCATTGTCTTTGCAGGCACTTCAGCAGAAATAGAAAATGCTTTAGCTATGATCAGGCAACAATTCCCTCTTAACAAGTATCCCACTGTGACTTTAGAACAGATTTCCTCAGCACCTACACCTTCCACTTTCCCATTGGTACCAGACTTCTGTCAGGTTGGTAACATTTTCTAATTCTGTACAAAATTTATTTTAACTACCATTTAATGGGAAACATTCATTTTATTTTCAACACCTTTTCATTTACTGCAGCTGCACCTTGTTGAGGGTGTGAATAATGAAGTGATGATCTCCAGTCTGGTGTCCCCTGCACATATGTTTATACAACAGCCTTACCATCCTTCTTATCAATTCCTTCAAAGGCTTAACCACATGATGAATTCTGTGTACGCACATGTGGAAACCCCTAACCTACCTGAGCCAATCGAAGGTACGAGCAGTTCAGTTTCTACTGTTTCACCTTAAATATCTACCACTTGTTCATTTGCCTAATGTTTTTCTCTATTTCAGCCGGCAATATTTGTGTTGCACCTGCTGTTGATGGCTGGTATAGAGCCCAAGTAGTTTCTACCAATGAAGAATCCCAGACTAGTGAAATTAAATTTGTAGATTATGGTGGCTATATGGCTGTAAACAACACAGTTCTGAGACAGATCAGACAGGACTTCATGACTCTACCTTTCCAAGCTACTGAGTGTTACCTTGCCAACATTAAACCTTCTGGTAAGTTTCTTCTTACATTCTGTCGTGTTTAGATTTGTTTCCAAGTTTTTTTTATTAGGCCCTTAATATTGATTGTTTTTTTGTTTTTAGGTGAATCAGGAGAGTGGGGCCTTGAAGCTCTAAGGATAGTTGAAGAGCTGACCAGAGGTCAAATGCTGCTTGCTCAAGTATATGATTACGCTGCAGATGGTGTTCCACTTATTTACCTCTACTCTTCTGTAAATTCTCAGGTATTTATACTTCATTATAATCCCAACATCCATTTCTCTGTACCTTCAGGCCATTGGAACTTGTGCAAGGTTACTTTCTTCAATCCAGTTTCTTTCAACTTAGAACATTTTCAATGGATGGTTTTCAAACATTTTTTCCAACTTTCTCTGCATACCTTTTTACAAGGATTATACTCTATATTTATCTTTTATTTGAATGTAATACTCCAATATGAGATTACTATGTCTGCTTTATACTCTTGCTCTGGAGTTGCTTTATATGCCTCACTGTTCATCATTTCATTCTTGCTTGCTGACAAGATGCAATGTGTCTGTGTCCTTGATCTTAAGTCAATTTTTGCCTATCATGCCTCACATTTTGTGCGTGCATGCACTTATACCTGCAGCCTGAGCCTGAGAGTAAACAAATTCTACTGTATCATTATTTTTTATGATAGTGGATTGTTTCCTCACTTACCTTTAAAACACACTGCCCTGTCAGACCCTTTGTTCCAAGGCTTGTCTTATAGCATGTTAGCATATCCCATATTTTATTGAGCAATTGTTTGCTCGTGAGGTATTTTAAGTCTCAAAGTTACTATGAAAGTCATGTGAGTGATGTTCTTGTCCTTGCAGCCATGGATGTATGATCCAGAGGTGAGTCATCCTGGCTTCATAGTAATCGTGATAAGAAGCATGCTTGCAGTCTAATGCAGCCTTTTTACTGACTTATTTAACCACTGCACCAAGCTTTACAATCACATAATTGTCCATAGCATAGAAGTTGTCTTTTATGTGTATTAACATTACAAGTTTAACATGTCAAAAGCATTGCCCTTTAGTTAACAAAGCACCTGTTAGAGGGGGGAAAAGGAGGTAGAGGTCAAATCTCTTAATGAATGAGCATAACTGTTTCTAGCTTCAGCTTTCACACCAACTGCTTTAAACGAACAAACTTTTCAATTTTGTTACCTTAATAAGTGTAAATATTTTAGTGTTATCTCTTGTTCAAAAACTATAAAATGGAAATCAATCTGCCACCAATCTTTTGTTACTTGTACAAAGATTAAATTTAATTAATTTATGCACAATAACACAATTTTTAACACTTATCTGTTGATCCCCCTTTTTCCAAAGCTGCTCATTTTCAGATGAAAGTGATAGCTTATTTTTGTTGTATTATTACTAACAACTATGCTGTTTAATTTTTACAGGTTGTCCTGATAAATCAAGAGTTAGTAGCGCGAGGGATGGCAGATGTTGACGACTCTGTCTCGTCATCTTCTGAGGCTGGTTCATTAGTAGTTGCAGCCAAGGCTGTTGCAGCTGTTGCAGCTGCTGCAGCAAGTGAAGCTTCAAGCAATAGTCAAACAGAAGAAACTACCGAGTCAAGTACAACAAAAGAATGTGAAGATAAATCTACTACAGTTGAGCCTTCAACTGTGTCTGAAGTAGCTGCCAACTGAGTACCCCTACTGTGGAGTTTCAGCGACTTACCTAGGCATTTTGCCTGATTGCATTGTGATTTGTTAGCCTCTGCTGTGATGGCAGGAAAAAACTTGTGAGCTGTGTCTTGCTGAGAAAAAAAATTGGGATGCTTGTAGTATAATGAAGTGCCAAAATGATGCCATTGTGCTCAAGTGTAAATATAAATATAAATTGCCCATTAGAACTGATGTCAACCAGTCTAAATGCTCGGATATATTTTGTTGTACAATTTGTGTGTATTTTCCCCAAGTCGCAAGGATCTCATCTGTACTGGACAAACCTCCAAGATTCCATTAAAGGACAAAAGACATATTTCCTTGCCTACTACTAAGAACATTTAGCATGTAATTTTGTTGTAGTTGCTAAGATGAAGTTAGTGTGTTGGTTATGCTGTCACAATGTAGATTAGTCATTCTTTGCTCCTGTAAAATTGTGTTGATTCCTTCCGTTCTCTTTAATGGAATCTGTTCCTTTGCATGGCTGTGCAAACTCTTGAGGGTTGAGCTAAACACAGAGAATAGAATGAAATGAAAAGGGAGAAATGTCATCAATGAACTTTAGGAGTTATCTTAACTCACAAATTAATATTAGAATTCAGTTCGTTTCAGAATTGATCAATCATTATTACTGTAAAATTCTTAGGATTGAAAATTGCACAGCCTAGTTCCTTGTGACTAGAACACTTAGGACAGATGTTGTTTACTGTTAATTTATTTCTGTATTGGGTTTTTACTTGCTGACATGTATAACATTTATAATGTTTTTTTTTTTTCACTGTTGTCTTTACTTGTGTGTGATGGGAGGGTTTGAAATAATGCTGTTATTATGTGATCCAATCATTCACATTGTTTTGTTGTTCTTTCGTTTGTGAAAACACTTGTTAATCATGGTAGGAACATATCTGATAGTTTCTGAGAATAATCTGCTTGGACATGGAAAGAACAGTTCACTACTGATACGCTGAAAGCATTTTACGAGGTTACTCTTTATTACCTTTTGTGAACTTTCCTAAAACTCTTGTTTAATTTTTAAAATTCTTTTTAGTTAAGAATGTAAGTAACTTGTCATAGTGATTCAATTTTAAATGGAGTTTTAGTCTAATGTGCAATTTAGTACTATATGTGGGCTCAGATTTGGCTAAAGCTTGGGGTGTTCCATTACTTCACTTTTAACTTTCCACCATGTGTCTCGCACCCTTTTTATTATTGCATGCACGGTCCCAACAGTTCCGTAGCATTTATTTGTGGTTGTTTTTTCAAAATCTAGTTTTGTAACAAAGTTTTATAATGTCAACATGTGTTAGTTATCACTAAAATTCATAATTTTGCAAAAAAAAAAATCTTTTTAAAAATATTTTTAGTAATTTCTGAGTTTTGTTGCTTTTCTATAAGCTTTCATGTGCCAGCAGGTAATTACATAATCTTATAAAGAGTGTTTTCTTTCAATTGTGTTGTACTTGCTACTTACTTTTCTTTTTCATTAATTAATTTTATTCTGTGCAAGTTCTGAAGGAAATGATATTGCAGTCTTGTAAAGTAATGCAATTGACTCATAGCATAGCACATTATGTTCTTAAACATGTAGAATGAAAACCATCAGCACACTAGTGAAACTTTATTTTGTAAATAGATATGTGAAAATATATTTGAAATCAGTTTCCAATTATCACATTTACTTTCACCTCTAATACTCATTCAGATAAAGGCCTCTTTATGATTCATCAACTCCACTACACACTGCATTGATGAGACTCATTCACAACATGTCGGGGTAAAACCTCGCATTCATAAAATCAAACCTTACCCTTTACCTCTCCCATGTCCTATGTGGGCAAGTCCTATGTGTCATTCAATGTGACAGGGTTGTGCCGGGCTGACCCGCCGCGCTGGGTTGGCCGACTGCGACTGAATCTAAGGGTGAGGATCTAGTTTATCAAAGACCGGACCCTCACCGAGATCTGTGCGCCCGATAATATGCCTCAAAAAGCTTAAATCTTGAACATGAGGCGGGTCATCTACGTAATTTGAATTTCGCGGTCAAGCGGAAAAGAAATGAAAGTCGTTTCCGGGCCTCACTCAGGCGTACGTCGTCATCGCCATCTCGCGGAGGATACATGTACTACACCGGCACCGGTGTGCGCTGGCGTCGCTTTCTGACAGCACCCTCGTATCACAATGTGCCCACCAATCACGGCGTTTTCAAAAGTATCACAATGTGGTTGCGGTGTGGGGTTTTAAACGAATGTTTTTGAAAATTTCTTCTAGTCTGTTTGTGTAGTTATGTTTTTGCAACTTACCAGATTAAAATAGCTACGTTGTGTCGATGCATAACTGCATCCAAATGGCTTTGAAAGAAGATTCTCTTTGTTTGGAAGATCACAGAAGTCTTTTCGGACATTGTCTGTCTTTCGAGGCAGAGGATTCTTTTCAGAGAAAGAAGGTTTGTAGGCCATGTTGCTTATCAACTTTCCCCTCAAAATGTTACAGAGACGCCAAGAAAACTCTTAAAATTTTTGGTGTAGATCCTGTTTGTTGATTTCTTAGTAGAATGAACTCGCTTGGTCCCGGTGTTTGTTATTATCTGTCTTTGATTTGGGCCGACTAACCTAAACACAACAACAAGTGGTTGAGAGACCCGGCTTTCTTCTGTATATTGGATCAAATTGAATAAATACTCAACCTATCAACCTAACTGTGAGCCATGTTGTATTGGTACATGACAATTTCTTTAATCTTGTTTTTAGGATGTGGAAACAACTACTAAAACCCCTGTTCCTCCCAAAACACCTGTGAAATTTTCTCCTTGGTTCAGAGTGGAAAGAGAGGCTTCGCTGGTCACTTTCAAGCAAGACCGAACAAAAAGTATCCTTTTGAAGCGTTTTTGCACTTTAATATTGTTAATTCATACTATTTTAATTGTGTTGCCTGTATAAGATTACTGTGTTGACATTCCCAACACCACCCACATTCTTTTGAAAAAAAATAATAAACCTTATAACAGAAATATACTCCCCTTAAATTGATTTTTGTTCTTTGGATTATTATAACTTGTTTACTCAATACTCAGAATTTTCTTTGACTTAATAAACTTTTTGGTTGCAATCATTCATTGGTGTGGTGGTTGGTGTTGTAAAATTCTGTATGTTGCTTATCGATTTGATAATTTGCTTTGTGTTTGCAAGTACATTCCTTAACTATGCTCAGCTGTTCCATTAAGCCGATTATATGACAGACGGCGCAAAGAAAATTATTTGGAACAAGTGTTCAAAGATGTTAAACAGGTTGGAGAAGGTCACTTTGGGAAAGTTTATAAGGTCTTAAGTAGAGAAGACAACAAAATTTATGCTGTGAAAGTATCCAAGGAAATTTTTCACAATGAAGCTGAAAGGTATGAAGAGCACAATTTGGCATGTTATTTTAAGATTATTTTATTGATTATGAATTAACAATTTTTGTAATGTAACCAGGCTGAAGAGGTCCGAAGAAGTGCGTAAACATGAAATGATCCCAATGCATCCAAATTGTGTCAGGTTATTCAATGCTTGGGAAGAACAGGGAAAACTTTATTTATGGTTGGAGTTTTGTGATACATCACTGGAAGCTTATGCGGAAAAAAACCATGATATAGGCGAATGGAAAGTTTGGGAGATACTGCTTGATCTTTTGCTGGTAAGAAGCATGCTTGTCAAGTGTGTTAATTTTTTTTCTGGCATGTCAAATTTAATTTATGCAATGCCTTTTTTTATCAGGGTCTTAAAAACTTGCATGACAATAGATTGGTTCATGTAGATGTCAAGCTAGAAAACATATTAATGACATCAGATGGAGTCTGCAAGCTTGCTGACTTTGGCCTGCTTGTTGACATGTCCCAAGTAAGTAGACCAGCCTGATGGTCAATCTCTGTAAGTAATTATTATTGTTCATTTGTAAAATAAAATAACTTTTTCTCGTAGGATGCGCAACCACCAAAAAATGTTGTGGAAGGAGATGGCCGTTATCTTGCACCTGAACTTCTTGAAGGAGGACCATGTACACCTGCGGTTGATGTATTTAGCTTAGGACTGTGTATCTTAGAGTTAGCTGCTGATATTGTGATGCCTAATGGAGGAGATGATTGGCAAAGCTTAAGGCGGGGTGAAATACCTCTGCAGAAAACAACACGTATGTTAAAGCATGTTACCAGCACCATCACCTTATATTCACAGAGTGTTGGAGTTTTATTATAATTTTATCTATCCTCTGCAGATCTGTCAGAGGAACTGAAAAGTGTTATTGTAAAAATGATTACACCTAATCATTTAGAAAGACCCAATGTAGATACACTTTTGGGTCAACCAAGACTGCAGAAAATGTGGGGGGAACGTCGTGAGAAAAACTCCGCTTTAAATATAAAAGCACCGGTAAGTTGTTGGATACATTCAGAATCAGCTTTCTGTATTAACTCTCATTTACCCTCGCCACTCCTCTTCCCATATATTTTCAAATCCTGTTGGTTGCTTCTAATTTACTGGCTGTAGTGTTAATATTGTGGTTTTGTGAGTGTGTAGAAGTAATAGTTGAATGTAGTTTATTTTAATGTTACACATTGCATATTATTTAATACAAGTAGTGACCATTTACCTTCTCTGCAATCTTCAAACTATTTATTTAAGATTTTATAATATGCATTGTTTTTAGCAAATGATTGAGGTGCTGTAGATTATTTCAACCATTGCTCAGCCACCTTTCCCCATGCATGCTTCCCAAACTCTGCATGACTCTGTACTTTCAATATTGGTTTGTTCTATTTGGGGCCTAGTTGTAATTCATTAAACATCTACCTAATTTAAATTATCCTCTAATACATAGTTTCCCGGGTATATCATTTGGTACTCTCCCCCATCCCATCCCATTGACAATCCTGTAGTGCATGTGCCTCCTACCTTCAACTAAATACTCCCCACTCACCTTGCTGTTTAACAGCATATGGCCTTGACTGGCTTTATGGCCATCTTCAACTTGCTGATCTTCCTCTTGTCTGTGCCGCTGAAGATAACTGAGGTTCTTCGGAAAAAATGTGGACGTCCTGGCCGAGTTCTTCGGCGTCCCGTCGTTTCTTCCCTGTTCCCCTCCAAAGCGCTGATGAGGAGGCGATTAATGAATGGATCCGGTCCTGCCCAGCCCCCTCCTAAAACTTGCAACATGCAGTTTTCTGATGGTGAGACAGTTTGCTGCTGAAATTTTGATTCCGAGGCTGTAAATTTTATTTGCATTCATTCCAGCTAAACCTAAGTATTTCTTTCCTTAGATGAATTGGAAGTTGCTACCATGTTAACTGACGGCAAGCTTGACATACTGGCAAGCTCTACACCTTTTAAACCACCTACACCAACAAGATCAAGAAATGTTGCAAATTCTCTAACCAGTCAACGCACTCTCAAGTATGTCCTTGAAAAGCCTCATTACCTTTTACTGTTTTGTAATAACTCCTTCTTTCAATTCCTAGATTATTGTCAATTACAATTATTACAATGTGTATTCTCTATCTCTTCAGCTTTGCATTGAATGATTCTGGATCCAGTTCTCCATCAAGCACACCCCCAGCTTCACCAACATCAAGATTTTTCTCTCAACTCCGCCCTACAAGTCCCTTGAATTCTGTTGGTGAAAATCCCCCTGCCTCTCCTGTATCAATGGACGAAAGTCCTTGTGCTTCACCTGACTTCAGTTTATTACATCATTCAAATAGTGCTAAAGAGAGTGTGATGAAAATTAATAATTCAGGTAATCTAGACATATCTGGACGCTCTTCCTTGGATAGGTCTGTGCCAGTGATTGGGAGATTAGGAAGGAACCTCCTAAACTCCTTCAATTCATCTGAGGACGACTCTGATGATGAGAAAGCTCAAAGCAAGAAAGGAAAGAAAAGAAAGGAGAAAAAGAGCAGATAATTTGCTGAAGATTTTACCAATCAATCATTTTGGACTGTTAATGTTAAGTTTAATTAACTTTTTTTCCTTACCTAAATTTTTGTTAAATTTATTAATTTTTTTCTTTAAGATTTCTATTAAATTAGCAAAGACTTTTGTTCGGGCTTTAAGTGTCAGTGATGAAACCTTGAAATCTTCTGTCATTTGTCTCGTGCATTTTTGTTTTTCCTTTTCTTTCTCTTTTTTGGACACCTTATTATATTGTGTTTGTGGCCTTTTTTGTCTGCAGAGTATATCAAATTGCATGTTAAATAGAATTTTTTTTGATTAAATTTTATGTACATCCACCATTTGTATATCTATCTGCTTTAAATAACATTTATGTGCTTGTATGTTGTATAATATTTTTCTGTTGAATTGTTTTTACATGTTGGAAATAATTATCAGGGCCTTCTGGCTATCTTGCCTTTTGATCATGGTTACAAGATCAAAAGCAGTTTAGGTTTTCAGTTGTATTTCTGTCACATATTATGTATGGTATCCCTGTCATGTTTACTGCTGTTCATTAATTCTTGTGCCACAGGGTATAATTTGTGTACATATTCTTTGTAAACTGTATGTTTTAAATTTGTATCCCATCTCATAATTAAATGAGATGTTTGGAAAGTGATTGCTTTATCTGCAGCAATCGTGATAACTAACTGTTCGGCTGTGATGGTCCTCTGGTTGGCACTGAAGGCCAAACCTATACTTGGCCAGATTTGAAAAACTGTACATTTATCCCTGTCCTATTCTGTTGATTCTGTTGATCTTGTCCTGTTCTGTTGATTGCACAATAGGTTTAGATGTATATGGTTAATCAATGTTTTGGAGTCTTGCACAATTTTAGCACGAAATTCATCATCTTGACAATGTCATATCTGCACCAACAGTCAGCACTGTTAGCAATTATCAGTTGTGAATCTCTGTGTTGCCACTAGTCATGTGTAGTTTGAGCCTGTTTATATTGTAAGCTGAACAATTAAAAAGAAACTAAAATAAACCTGGCCTGTTGATAGGTTGTTTAGTCAGATTTGTGTGAAGACTTCAGGTTATTGGCCAACCAGTATTTGTAATTTTGTATGTTTTGTATTATTTCATTCTGTACTAGACTGTAAAATGTACATATGTATACATGTGCTGTAGAGTTGTTGATTTGAAATTTTTTATTGTTTTTGAGGAGTGATTGGATCGCATTTTGCAGCCTTATTATCTGTGGGCTAGCACTTTGCTGATAGAGGGGAGAAGGCCTGGTTAACAGGAACCACAATTTACCTTTGTCATACCATCTAATTGGTTTAACAAAGTAGCTATATCCTTCTTTTACTTTCAGTTTAAAAATACTGAATTGACTTAAAGAAGGCGAAGTTGGGCCCTCAGAATGGATTTTATGAATAAAAACAAGGGTTTTGGACAGCATTTACTGATTCCCCATTTATCAAAAGTCTCTTATGATGTGTCTAACTTGTTGAGCCTTTTACATACATTGTTTTCATCAGAATGAATCAAATTTTTTGTCACCCTGGTTTTTATTTTGTTTTGCAAGGTAATTCTTTTACCTTTCATCATTCATCATTTAATTTTTACAACAATCACAGCTAACATTTATGAAATGTATGAAGGTTGATCTCATTAAAAATCAGTTGCTACACTAGTGCCATATTTATTCTTTGCTTTAACCTGGTATGAATTAGTAGCCTGCTGCCTGCTAGGTAGGGGAATAGTTTTCAATTTTGAAATGGAAAATAATAATACAAGTAAATTAATAATTTTAATCAGTCTCCTTCATCACTACTCCATACATCCTGGGTTACCTCACCCACAGGTCGCACAGAACTATTGGTACTCACACTCTGAATGTTAACATGATCTTTATAAGCAGCTTCTTGCAACAAATCTGGAGTCCAGATCAAAATATTTCGATCATGAGCCCCACTGTATAGCTCTTGATACAAAGTATTAAATTTGCAAGAATTAACTTCATTATAATGTCCTCTCAATGTTCTCACCAACTCTCCTGTCTGCACTTCATAAACTAGTATTTTACCATCTGAGGGAATAAACACTAACTCTTTTCTAGAGCTACCCGCCACATCAAACTGAACACTCTTACTCTTCTCTGAAGGCTTTGCCTTATATTCCACTCCTTCTTTCTTCCCCGAAGTCATATTCCAAAGTTTGGCACGGCCATCCCATCCTAAAGATATGAGATTCTGGCCATTCTCAGTGAAGCACAGTCCATTTACAGCAACCTCATGTGATTTAAGCTTGCCTTTGTTTTTGTAGTTGACCTGTCCATTGTTATGGTCAAGGATTCGAAGAGCTGACTTCCCTGATCGGGCATCCCATACTATTATTCTTCCGTCACAGCCTCCAGTAGTCAGTAAAAATTCTTCACAAGGTGACCAGCGACATGTTAGTACAGCACTTTCATGCCCACGTAATTCATGAGTACAAGAACCTGTAGTTAGATCAACAAGTCTCACAATGCTTTCTGTGCCAGCAACTGTCAACATAAAATAATCATTTTAGTGAGCAACATAAAAAGAATGACAAAAGATGACAAATGAGTTTAAACAAACATACCAGCTACAAGACACTTTGATATGGCTTTGGTTGACATGTGAACTTGAAAAATGCGTCCAACAAATTTCACTGTTTCAACAGGTCGCATTCGATTGCTGTCCCAAACCTTCAGGCTCTTATCCATGCTTCCAGTGACAAAGAGACCAGAATCTTGAGGGTACCACTGAACACATTCTGTACTATATTTGTGAGCAAAACGGTGGTTTCTGTCAATGACCTGAACAGAATTTGCAGTAAAACTTGGAGAACCAGTGAAGTTGTACAGATCATGTATGTAAATACTGCCATCGGAACATCCAGATAAAAGGCTGTGAAAATAAAACAATGTTATAAAATCAAGGTTCAGGATCAAAGAATATCATTTTCAATATTACTTACTAACGACCCTCAGCATCTAAATCTAATGTACGGACTCCTGAAGAAAAAACATTTTCGACATCTCGATGACTGCTGAGAGCCAAGTTTTTCGCTCTTTTATATGCTTCAGATGTTTTAAATAGAAGCGGATCTGTGACACCAATCCTTAAATTTTCTATCTGATGGATCATATTTGATCAGTTCGTTATAATAAAAGCGCACTAGAAATCTGGGTGCATGCAATACAATATTGATAAATACCAATATTGAAATACAATGGAAAGTTACACAACACAGAGCGCAAAGCCCAATATGCTTCAGATGTTTTAAATAGAAGCGGATCTGTGACACCAATCCTTAAATTTTCTATCTGATGGATCATATTTGATCAGTTCGTTATAATAAAAGCGCACTAGAAATCTGGGCGCATGCAATACAATATTGATAAATACCAATATTGAAATACAATGGAAAGTTACACAACACAGAGCGCAAAGCCCAAACAAATCAACACAACTCAGTAGAAGCAGACTATTAGTTGTGATGATTCCTGTCATATAAGCAATACAATTTCACAATTTCTGACACACTAGGTTAGACCTGTTCCATGACAGCCTACGCAGTACAATGAATGACATTTTTAGAGTCACGGTGGGTTGTCAATGTTTTCAAAATATCAAAGAAATCAGGACCCATCGTGGAGTAATTGGCCCTTAACACGTTAACAGTTGTTTTTGTGCTGCTCTGCCGGTGCTTACTCCTAAGTGTTTCCCCTTCCCCGTCCATCCCTATCGCTCGCGGACGAGCGGGGGTGCGCGGTATTTATATGCCCCACCACTCCCCTCCCCTTCCCCTTCACCTTCACCTTCACCCCTTCCCATTCCCCTCTAGCTCTAAAGTGTGCACAGTTTCCTCCTTTTTAAGAGAGTCCTCTTTATTGCACAAGTTGTCTCCAGCTGAGTTTCGTTTTAGGATAATTCTCTCCTTCGCCCTGGTATATTAAAAGCGGGAATTTATAAATATCTAGGTACGCTCACCCTCTGAATAGTTAAAGAAAAGACCTTGTGATGAGTGGAGGTTATGTTTCATCAGGTAACCATTGTGCCGGATCAAGCTACCAAAGAAATAATATGTATTGTTTTAAAACAGAAAACAAATGTGGAATTTTCGAAGCAAAAAACTTGCACGACTCCTTCGAAACTATCCTGGATACAAGACAATTGGAGAGTTTGCTTTTCTTCCAGTCTTTTTTGTAGGCGGAGCAGCTTTGGAATATGTAATGATAAACTGGCATTTTGGAGAAGTCAACTTCTGTAAGTTTAATTTTACAATTTAAATTTTATTTTTTAAATGGTTCTGTTAAATCTGTCATCTTAATTTTATGTTCTTGCGGCAGATAGAACATTTAAACGAAGACAAGCAAAGGAACAAGCAGAAGCTATTGTCCATCAATATTTAGCAAAAAAAAATCAAGTTGAAAGTTAGTACATTTTTTTCTTTCTGAATTAAAATGCCTTACGGAGTACCCTGGCCTAGATTTCTAGCATTCTCAATCTCAGCTCTGTCAAGCAGTTTAGTAGGCTCACAGTTAGTGCACAATTATTACCAGCCTCTGGCTGATATGGATGAGCTCATACGTAAAGAAGTTGAGCGCTTAAAAGCTGAGAAAGGAATTGTTGATGATAATCTAAAGTAGAGGCCCCTTGCGTGATTTATAATTATGTTGTAAATAAATAGCGTTGTTACTCAGAATAAATTATTTTTTATCTGAATGTTGTTGTTTTTTAGATGAATTCTCTTGAAAACCCTTCATCGCCCCTCATTGAAGAATGTACTGAATTTGCTGTCCTTTCCAAAAATTGAAGAATGCACCCTGAAAGAAGTCTAGGAACATCACACATGTAAGAGGAGATTTTTTAATTTATTTACAAATGTAGTTTACATTTGAACACTATGATGGTCAGGTTGTTTTCTTTTCTTTTCTCCTTTTGTTTTGGAAAGGGGGCAGGGGTCCTCTGTAGATGCTAGATTTTTCTTCTTCCCACTCTGCTTTAATCTACTGCAGAATGGTGGATAGCAGGATAATTATATTCTCCTTGGTTGGTTTGCTTCGTCAGGTGCGTCCTCCACCCTCACACCCCCACCTCCAGAGTCGTGGCTCTCTTTATCCTGGGATGGCTCTTCCCCGATCCCGGTCCCCACGGCCGTACGACCCCCGCCCTTTCGCTCGCTGCAACTTGCTTGCAACCCCAGCCAGCTCCCCGTGCCGCCCGCCCGTCTGCAGTCGGGTCGCCCTCGGCTCAGCGGGTCCGAGCGCGTGGCCACCCGCTTCCCTCGGACCCAGCTTACCGGGACGCGACCACTTGCGCGGGGTGCGGGGGTGGGTATTGATCGTTAAAAGCCAGCTGGGTAGTTCGGCGCCCGCCCGCGGGGCGCTGGCTCGGCCAGGCCGGTTGCCCATCCGAGGCGGGTCCCCCCCTTCGCCCGCCGTCGCGACGCTCGGGCCGACGCTGCTCGGCTCAGGCGGCGCCCCGACGCCCGAGCCGAGCCCGACGCCCGCCCCTCAGTCTGCGGAGAGCCGCCGCCCCCGCCCCGCCCGCCGCGAGACGCGCCGCCCGCGGAGTTGTTCGCCGTTGTCGCGCCGCCCCGCGCCTCGCTCTGACATTTGCAGGAGTGACGGCTGATTGTTTTCGGGGGGCGGCGGGACGCGCCGTCGTCCGCGACCGCGACCCGCGTGTGCGGCCACCAGCGCGACGGGCACGGCCTCGCACTCGAGCACGGCCATCCCGACGGGGGCCGAGGGGGGTGGCAACGTGCTGAATGGAGCGTCGTCTGCTACGGTCAAGGTCACTCGGTTCGGTTCAACCCCTGTCATGAGTGAGTATGGAAACGGTGAACGCGAACGCATCCTGTGAGCTTAGCGGTGGGCTCAGGGTCTCCGCACGCGAGTTCATGTCGACAAACTGCGAAACGGGAGAGTCTACTGCGGCTGCTGAAGGAGGCGACCCTTGTCTTATTTGGCTCCGGAGTCCAGGTGTTATTGACCACGGCTGCCCCTACCCAACCCGAGCCCCTCTGATCGAGTGCTTACTATGTGAGTGCGAGGACCGGAGGGAGATCGCACCGGGGAAGAATTGCACACCCGTTCAAAAATAGTTTGTCTTTGAAGTATTTATCCGCGGGACGTGTTTTATTTAGAGGGTCATTGGGACATCCTCTCTCCAGCGTCCGCCCTGCGGACAAGCGGATACAGGCTCTGTGGGGAGTGAGCGGATGGTTTGTGGTTGGTTCGATCTCGGTTCGGCCGCTAAGCTTTTAACGCTTTTGACTTTTAACATTCTTCCCCACTGAAGACTGGTTTATTGGCACGACAGGTTGTTCTTTTTTATAGACATTGACAACATTGCATACACAACAGCAAGACCTGCTTAAGTGCGTATCTTGCAAGATGCCATTATGATGCCTGAGCGGTGACAAAAATTGTATCTACAGTGGGACAAAATAAACATTTCCGTTGTCGTCCGTTGTTCTTGTCGCGACATGTTTTCTCCACAGTGTAGGATTGCGCAAGGCGCGAAAGACCGCACTATTTAGTTCCTGACTAACATACAGTGTTATGTTAGATTACTTAACGGCCCTTTAAAACTAAAACGCGTGCGACGCGCGTGCGATGCGAAACACGGTGTCATTCTGTGAGCCGTGGTGTAAGGGGGTTGGGGGGCGGGAGGGGGAGAGGCGGAGGGCGGCGATGGCACTCCTAGTCAGCCGCCTGTATGGCAATTTGGCAATTTGGATGTATGGCAATTTGGAAAGGGTCGGGCAATTAGATGGCAGGGGCAAGAGAGAGTCTAACATCCCTGCTGTTCGTGACGGTCCTCGACTGGAGGAGTCTCGTGGGGCACCCCGGAGACACCCGGGCCGTGGGACCTCCACACGTCCGCTGAGTAGCGCAGCGAGCGCCGTACCATTGGGGGCACAGCCAAAACTACTGTGACCTAAAAGCAGACACAAATAGGAGGGGGAAAAAAGATAAACACCCACAACTACTTCCCGGCTCTTCACTCCTGTACTACTACTACATACCCCATAGAACCCGGATGCGGAAGCCGACCGAGGTCGCGCTGGACATATTTTACGACCAGAGATCTCTCTCATGCCTTTACGGAGCGAAAAGAGTCTGCTTGCTCGGGATTTTGTCGGCGCCAACCCGCCCCGCTCAGCCCCACCCCTGCACACAGCGCACCCCATCCCTCTTTCCCCTCCCCTCCCCTCTGGCCACCCCACCCTGATGAGTTTCTCTCCTAGTGTGGGTGTGAGTCACCCCCCTCCTCTCCCTCCCTCACGAAATCCCTGACCTAGCTAGACTGCCTGGGGGATTGGGGCTATGTGTCGCCGGAGTAGCAATAGCAGAGTGAGAGAGGGAGAGGGTCGGACACCGCCTTGCGAAGCAAGTGGAACTACCCTATACTGCTTGTCTTCTCTGCGGCTCCGCCACTGCACGGTGAAATTCCCCCCCCCCCTCCCCTTTTCCCCCGGGTAGCGTCACGGAGTGCCATAAATATAAGCGGACAAGCGGGCGGCCTGCTTGAGGGCGAAGGCGTGGAGGCTGCGGCCGCCAGCCCCGCGGGCGCAGCGCCAAGGGTTCGGTTTGGTGTCGTGCATGACGGCGGCGGGGAGGAGAGAGAGAGAGAGAGCTCGTGTGGTGCACTGTACTGTACCGGGGGCTGCGGGGGGCTCAATGGCGACGGCCGAGGCCTGCCCCCTTCGGGCCCCCGCCCGCACAGAGCGCCGCCACGGGCGCGACTTTAGCGGCCGCATGTAAGCGCCCTCGTCCGCGCGCCGGCCCTGCCCCGCCGCCGCCGCCCCGCCCCGCCGCAGCTGCCGGTGGCACGCGACCGCCGTAACTTCCAGAATGCAATCATTGACACCTGCTCCTTTGCTCCTCGCCGAACAAACGGGCGCTTATCTCGGGAGGAGAGGTGGGACTCAGGACTCGCACGGGTATCGCCACGGTATCGCCCTGCAGTGTTGCGTCATATTCGGTGCAGATGCTACTGCTCCCACCCCCGCATAAAACTGGGGGGCATTAAAAGTCGTACCATGAACTGAAAGAGATCTCACCCGCTCTCGAATATCGTACATACCGCACTTCATTGTGGACGGGGCAAAGAGATTGCACGGGGAAGATGTGCAAATGCACCTCGAGCGCCGTGTTTCTTGTCATTCCTTGTGATTTAATATTTTTATTTTATTACTATATGTAAGATTTGCCAAATTATTACGGCGAGTTCAGAATCACATCGGAACTATGTCTGTTAGAGTAAGTATCCTTGTCCCGCGCGCACTCGACAGCGGGCTCTAGACAGACAACGGAACGGAATCTGAGCGCGCGAGAGCCGTTCAGGCGCACCTAGGCAAGCCCGCACGGCACGCCAGCGTGACGGGACGGCCTACCACTCGGTGCGCAGGGGCTCTTGCTCCTTGCTCCGACCTGTCATATCGGGCTGTCGCCTCGGACCCGTCTGCGCCAACACGCCGAAAGTGCAAACGGGGGGTGGGGGGGCACCGTCTCCTGACCTCTTTTTCCCTCGGCCCATCACCCCCACATATTTTCCGAGACTAGAAAGGGGAGGGGTGAGCCTGGCGCGAGACCATCCCTCCTCTTCGCCTAAAGCTATGAAAGTACGTCCAGTGGCGTTGAAATAGAACAGACGGCGAACACGCCTGATGTTTAGAGTGAGGGCTCGATTCCTACGCAACCCTGTTCGGCTCAATGGAGCAGATTTTCTTTTTAGCTCGAAAGCTAAAGCTAAACACACAATAACTTCGTAACATATTTTGTTTACCCTCTCAAAGGAGGAAAGAAAAATGTGAACTTGTGAACGGAGAGGTATAAACTTAAAACAAACTGCGATGGTCTTCCGCACGAATTAAAAGTATGAAAGTATGTTTTTCTAGAGTCAACAAGAATTTGTTTCAAAATTTCAGTGTGCAGATCATTTTAACAGTGAAGTCAGATTCGATAATATTTGGATCCAACTATCGACAGCGATTTCGCGAGGGACCACGAGGACGAAACCAAAGCCTCGATTAGTTT